CTCTGTTTGGGTGTTCTTTATATTTCCCAGCTCTTTGCTAAAAACTTCACTCTCTGTAGCTATACTTTGAGTTTTCTGAACACCTTTGCCATCATTGCTTTAAACTCTCAGGTAATTGCCTATTTCCTCATCACTTCTTTCTCCTTCTGGGATTGTATCTTGTGCCTTGGGCTGGGAGATATTCCTCTGCCACCTCATATTGTTTATCTTTATATTTGTATTGTTAGGTAGGTTAGTTAACATTTCTAGACCTTGGAGAGGTGGCCCTCTGTGGGAGATGTCCTATGCATGCCAGCAGTACACTCCTCTCTTGTCACCCAAGGGCCAGGCTCCAGGTGGTCCCAATGTCTGCTGATGGGTGGGGCCGTGTTCCCACCCTGTATGTTGTTTGGCCTGAGGCTTCCCTACAGGCTGTTGGGTGGGGCTAGGTCTTGGTGCTATTGATCCAATCAAGATGTCAGCCTCCAGGAAAGCTCCTGTAGAGGAACACTCCCTGAATGTCGGCCACCAGCTTTTATGTCCCCTAGGTAAGCTGCAGCCGCCCCCCATGTCCCCAGGAGACCCTCCAAAAGCAGCAGGCAGGCCTGGTCCAGGTTCCTATGAAATCACTGCCTCTGCCCTTGGACCTGGCACACGTGAGTTTCTGTGTACAGTCCCCAAATGAATGAAGTCTCCGTTTCCCCCAGTCCTGTGGGGCTCCTGGAGCTAAGCCCCGCTGGCCTTCAAAAACATGTCCTGGGGTCGTCTCCTCCCAATGCTGGAACCCCGGGCTTAGGGAGCCTGATGTGGAGCTTAGAGCTCTCACTCCTGGGGGAGGGCCTCTGCGGCTTAACTATTCAGCTTGTGGGTCACCCGCCCGGGGGTATGGGGCCTGCCTATACTGCAAGCACGCCCCTCCTACCTTCCTTCTGTGGTTCCCTCTTTACGTTTCCAGTTGAAGATGTTTTTTAGGTTCCAGTCTTTTTTTTTTGATGGTGGTTTTGCAGTCAGTTGTGGTTTCATTGTTCTTGACCAGAAATCCCTGATTTATCCTGTTCTTTTAATTGAGAGCAGATTCTTCTCCCTTTTCATCTCAGGTAACTGTTTCTCCTAAATTTATAGAGATAAAGTTGTCTACTGTGGTCTTGAAAGGGTGTTTCTATGTAGGAGCTCCCCTGTGTAGACTCTGTGTCCAGTTCTTAGGTGCAAGGGCTGGTTCTGGTATGGATGACGTCTCTCCTCTGGGTGTGCTGCCGGTCCTCCCCTTGATAAGGGATGTGGTTGGTGTTGGTATCTAAAACCTCTGCAGGGTGTGAGGCGGAGCTTCCTCTCTGCTTTGTAGCTGTTGCCTCCCTGTCAGGGGTGGGTCTGCTCCCCAGTTGTTGGCGTAGAAGCCCTGAGGGTCAGATGCAGTCAGGCTTCTTTGCTCTTGAGTATGTACCCTGCCCCAAAGGAGGTGATTGCTGAAGCAGTGAGGCCCCTGCGGTCACAGGTTCTATGTACGCACTGCCTGTGTGGGTGTCGTGGTCCAGCTCAGAGGCAGTGCAAGGGTGTGTCATGGAGGAGGCAGGGCTGTTGTGGCTGCCTCTGTGGACTTCTTGCCCTGGGACGTGTCTTCCCCAGATCTAGCACTAAGCTGTGGTGTGGAGGGGGTGTGCTGGGGCACAAACCACTGTGGCTCCGCCCGGATCACACCTCAGGCACCCTGGTCCGTCTCTGCAGAGCTAGACAGTCTTTTCCCAGTGCTTGATAGGCCCAGACCACCCCCTTTGGAGCGGGAAGTGTAGTGAGGTGGCATCTGCCAGTGCGAGGCTGTCGGGAAGCCAGCACACACACGAGTAGAGTCTAGGCTTCTCCAGCCCTTGGGTCTGTCCCAGTGGATTTCCCAGCAGGCAAGGGGGCTTGTCCCCTCTGTGCAGGACCCCAGGAGTGGAATTCCCAGGTTGTGGCTCAACCTGCTCGCCCCCCAATGCCAGGGTCTGCCCATGCAGGCCTTCTTCCTTACAGATCCCCCTCGGGCGCAAGTCCCAACCCAATGCCTTTTTTTCCTTATCTTACTTGGTTTTGTGGAGATCTTGTAGCTTTGGTCGTGTAGTTCTTCTGCCAGTTTCCAGTGAGAATTGTTCCACATGTGGATATATTTTTGATGTGTTTGTGTGGGGACTTGCGCTCCACAGTGTCTTTCTCCACAATCTTGATCCCACTCTACTTGTTTTTTTCCAGGAGATAGTTAATTACAGTTAATCTATCAAAAGAGAATTACCAGTTATTTTAAGCAGTTAAACTAATAATTCTAAAATTTATTTATTTATTTATTTTTTTTTTACTATTATGAGAACAGTCAGTTGAAAAAAAAATGTTTTTAACAATGCTTTCAGAGTATATAAAAAGGTCCAGGCTTAGTCATTAGAAAAATGGAAAGTCAGAAATAGTTGGCCTTGTTACTTTATGCCTTTAAACTTACAGTCAACATAAATAGTTCAATTTAAAAATTATTCTCATATAAAATATCCAAAAGCATGGTAAATATCTTTTTCTCATATTTATAGTACATTTAGTATTTTGTCTGCATTAAGATCCTAAAGAGTCTTATTCAGCAATTTGTGTTATTGTTTACAGCAGAACTATTCACTGGCTGAACTTGATGAGAAAATTAGTGCCCTCCGACAAGCTCTGCTCAGAAAATCAAGAGAAGCAGAATCCATGGCAACTCATCACCTTCCATGAAAAAGTCCTCTTTCTTGTCACTTTACTTTTTTAGATACATGTGTGCAACTTACACTGTAATTAGTTAAGTGGATATGTGTTTATCAGTGTAGACTTACCTCTGAAATCAAGGTTTATTTTCATGTCAGTTCACTTTGTAGCAAGCAGTCTTCATATATTCCAGTGTACTTTGAAATAGTTAATGCATTGAAAATAGCATTGTCAGAATTTATTCCCTTCTGTTTTAAAGGAGGTTATTATTTGAAAGTACATCTTTTTGTGTCTTTACCACAGAAAGGAAGAGAAGGCTTTATTTATATTTGTAACATTTATGTTAACCAGTTTTAGTTTAAATCTGTACTTTGTACATAATAGGCATTCAATAAAAATTTTTAAATAAATGTATATACTTTTTCCAAGTGTCAGTTTTAATCTAGTAGATCATGTGCCCTTAATCTCTTTGTGCCTTAATTTCCTTATCTGCAAAGTGGGAATGATAAGAGCTGTCATGAACAATAGGTTAAAACTGGCCTAAGGGAAGCACTCAGTAAATGTTAGCTATTATTATTATTCATTATTATTACTGTATTGTAAAACCAAGTCTGTCTTTGAATCCCTCTCCCTTGAGAACATTTATTTCCATAGTTGCAAATTAAGCATTTAAAAGATGCACCTACTACCCAAACATCTATGATCAATTAATCTACAACGTAGTAGGCAAGAATATACAATGGAGAAAAGACAGTCTCTTCAACAAGTGGTGCTAGGAAAACTGAACAGCTACATGTAAAAGACTGAAATTAGAACATTCTCTAACACCACATACAAAAACTCAAAATGGTTAGAAGGCCTAAATGTATGACATGAATCATAAAAATCCAAGAACAGAGGTGAGGCACTCTGACATAAATCATGGCAATATTTTCTTGGATCAGTCTCCAAGATAAAAGAAAAGCAAAAATAAATAAATAGGACCTAATTAAATTTCAAAGCTTTTGCAAAGCAAAGGAAACCAACAAAACAAAGACAACCTATGGAATGGGAGAAAATATTTACAAATGATGTGACTGACAAGGGGTTAATATTCAAAATAGACAAACAGCTCTTACAACTCAACATCAAAAAAACAAACAACCTGATTAAAAAATGGGCAGAACTGAATAGACATTTCTCCAAAGAGGAAATGCAGATGGCCAACAGGCACATGAAAAGATGTTCAACATCACTAATTATTAGAGAAATGCAAATCAGAACCACAATGAGATATCATCTCACACCTGTCAGAATGGCCATCATCAAAAAGAACACAAATAACAAATGTTGGCGAGGATGCAGAGAAAAGGGAACCCTCATACACCGTTGGTGGGACTATAAATTAGTGCAGCCACTATGGAGTTTCCTTAAAAATATTAAAGATAGAGTTACCATATAATTCAGTAATTCCACTCCTGGGTGTATATCCAGAAAAAACAAAAACACTAATTTAAAAAGAGATTCATCCTGATGTTCATAGCAGCACTGTTTACAAACGCCAAGACAGGGAAGCAATCTAAGTGCCCATTAACAGATGAATGGATAAAGAAGACGTGAGATGTATATACATTCCATTGTGTGTATGTACAGTATGTAAATACATACACACAACAGACTGACTTCGCCAGAAAAAAAAAAGATAAAACTGCCATTTGTAGCAATGGGGGTGGACCTAGAGGATATTATGCTTAGTGAAGTAAGGTAAGCCAGGCAGAGAAAGACAAATTCTGTATGACATCACTTACATGTGGAATCTAAAGTAACACAAATGAATGTATATGCAAAACAGACTCAGACAAAGAAAACAAACTTGTGGTTATCAAAGGTGAGAGGCAATTGGGGAGGGACAGATACAAACTACTGGTACGGGATTAACAGATACAAACTACTATCTATAAGATAAGCAATAAGGATTTACTGCATAATGGAATTAGACCCATTATGTTATAATAACCTATAATGGAATATAATCTGCAAAAATACTGAATCACTATGTTGTACACCTGAAACAATACTGTAAATCCAATATACTTCAATAAAAATTTTTTAAAGCAGCTACAGTCAAGGAGCAGATGTTTGGCTCAACAATTGGCTGAAAGAATCAGAAACCTACCCAAAAATAACTTGTAAAGGAGAGTTGTTGAAAAACACCAGAAATCTGGACTCTAATCGCAGGAGGTATAGCTAGACATTTTGGTATCCAGAAAGTCACCAGCAATTCATCTTTTCCTTTATGTCCCTAGCTGCCTCTAGCTCTAATTATGTCTCTGTCTCCTACCTCGTTTTCTGCTTTTCCTCTCCCTCTGTCTCTTTCCCTCTGTCTTCCTCTTCCTCGTTTTTTCTCTTACACATAATCCTGTATGCATCTGCTTTATTTTCTCTCTCTGAACTGACTTCTCTGAAGGCTTCTTCATTCCTGCTTCCCCACATGGGTGACATTTGGCCCTGCCTCCATCACTTGGGCTTGTTCATGCCTTTGAGCTTCCATGGCGCACATTCTGAACCCAGCTCTATGGAATCTGACAACTCCATTGACCATGGCTTACCTGTCTTTGTATCTCATAGTTCAAGTCCTTCAGAGGCTGAATCTCAGTGTCATCAGAGTCTCAATCAGTTGTGGTCAGGATGATGAGGCAGGACCTCTTCATAGAAATATGCATTGTACACACAATCTTGCACAACCATTTGTGGAAGCCTTGAAGATTGGGGTCACCTAGTAAACAATGGAGACTTTGGAATCATTTCCAAGAACTGGTTGTGGGCTAACTACTACTGCCATATTTAATCTTGCTTAATGTGACCCAGTATTATAAGTACAACAAAAAATGCCTGCTCTTCAGTCTATCTGGTCCTTATTATCACCATCCTGCCAGAAATGACCTCCTCTGGGTTTATTGGCACATTTTACTACCATCACACCAGCAACACAATCAGAAAAACGTCAACAAAAGTGATCGATTAGAACAGAAGGACAACTTAGAGGTGGGGAAAAAAGCTAGAAAACAGGATCATACACTGGTCACTCACTGGTCTCCCCCTAAATAAATGCCATGAGTCTGTTTCTTGACTCTTAGCAGTAGAATAAGTTCCTATGTCATGTCGGACAGTCCTAGGATCTGGCCATTAGAAGGATTTTCTTTTTCCATTATCTTTCAAACCTACTCTTCTGAAGGACATCAGAGAGTCCTCCTGTCTCCAGTAAGTACTGTCTGGTGCCAGCATCGTTTTCTACTTGAGTCGGAGCCTCCAGAAGAGGCCGGGACTCAACACCATGTTGGTATGTAGGTACAGGTACTTGTTTAAGACCAAGGTTCTTCTGGTGATAACTACCCAGAATTTTAGTGGGCTTTCAATCATCATCTTTCTTGAGTCCATCACTGACTAAAAGGTGATGCCAGGAATGTCTGGGGAGGTCAGCTTGCTCCCTTAATCATCAGGCCACCTAATGACCATTCCTTCAGGATTTTTGTTATTCAGCTCTTCTTAGACCCCATTATTCTTAATGGCTCTGTTCTGAAGAGAATAAAGGAGGAAACGTGACTGGAAAGAGGACTGCAGGACAGGAAGCACTTCTCCCCTAGTCTGCTCTTAAAAATCCCTCCCCTCCACAGGTTACATTCCAATCTAGGGAAGTGTTTTACTAGCGGCTGGGAATTGGGGGTTGGGTGGGGGTGGGGGTGATAAGCATGTTCATCCTGTGGAAAAGGGCTAAGCTTCCCAAATTGTTCTAACTATTGCCAGCTGTTGTCCTTTTAATTGCTAGGTTCCTGAGCCCTAAGCTTTTCCAAATTCATAAATAATATCTGGACCTTATCTTCAACAATCTCAGCAGAAAAGAATTCCCTTTATGAAACATGGATATGTAACTTCCTGCTTTTCCCTATCTCCTTTCAGCCAGAACACCTGGTATAGAAAACTCACTGCCACTGAATTTTAATTATGTCCACAGGGAATTAACACATTCCTACATTTCAACATTTGATAACTTTCAAAGCTGAAGCTTTGCCTTCAGTGGCATGTGGTTTGGCCTGAGAGATTTCAGGCAGTGGTTTAGCTATTTTGGCATCTCTTACCTGTGTGCCACCCGTTTTCCATGGAATCAGGAATCCTCTGTCACCCCTGCTTTTACCCCATCTCTCTGTCCTGACTCCACAGCTAGTCCTATACTTTACACTCAGAGCCAGTTACTCACAATCCTATTCCTGGCACTAAGTTCTGTTTTAGGGATTTCGTGTTTCTAAGAAACAGAAAGCCGATTCTGACTTACAGTGTGTTGTTATCAAGAATGTGAACAATGCAAACTGTAGGCAGTTCAGCCAGTCAGCCTCGCCTGCACTGGGCCAGTTGTCTGGATTCTGCACATCTGCTTCGCTCCGTCTGTACCTTAGCTTCTCTGAAGATGTCGTCTTTCCTGCCTCTTGGCAGTTTGGTTTTGCTTGAGACTTTGGGCTCCGTGGTGCTGTTGGCTCTGACTTAGCCCTTTGACTCTGGTGTCCTGTGTTTGTTTCTTCTGATTCAAAATCTGGTAAAAGAGGAATTCATATTCACTACTTGGGTCAATTGTCTACCCCTGGACCAATTATCTGTGGCTTGAGTGTTAGGATCTCTGAGAACAAAAATAGCCACACTTGTCCAGCCCTTTGTTAGAGGGGCACTTCCCACAAGGAAAACATGAACCGGGAACTCTGCCCCTGTGACCTAGACTGATCAACACTTGGCCTTTGCAAAGTTTTTAGTTCTTTAAGAAATACTTCTTTTTCCCATAACTTTAACTGAAAATGTTTTATGATTGTTAACCCTAGAGATACCATCTGGGTCCACTGGACAAAATTTTAGTTTGAGTGTGGTTTTTTTTTTTTAAAGCAATTCTAAATATTTATAAGGATGGATATTTCATGACTTTTGGCTTTTCTTAATATTCTCCCAGAGATAAAGAGAAAACTTACTCTTTAAAAATAGAATAAAATTTATTATATCTTTCAATCCCCATGCGAGTCCATTGGACCCTTTTATAACTGTGATACATTATGAGATCTCAGTGATTTAATTTTCATTTTTTCCTATGTCTTTTGAAATATTTTACTATTTCATTATTTCAGGAATTATTTAATCATCACAAATCAATTATTTCCATGTAAGGTAATTATTTTTTAATAAATGATCACTAATAATACATCATCTTTAGTTTTCACATCACATTGCCCTCAGTATTACATCATCTTTCGACAAAGTATAAAATTCTGGAAAGACATGATCTTTTGAATCTTTTTTCTTTTTTTAAAGGCTTCCAACGAGTACAGTTGAGAGTTTAGGATTTTTCACTTTGACCATTATAGCAAGTAGAAGAACATTAACAGAAGAATTTTCACAATTAAGAAAAGGATGAGAAGGTGAATGCAGAGTCAGAGGACAGTACTCTAGATCCTAATCATGTTGATGAAACTGATCACGTGG